ATTTAACTAAAAACATAAATCAGCAATTGCAAAGCAATTATTACCAAGAATAACTAATTAAACAGTTACGCCTGACATCGAAAGCCCACTGAGCATCCATTTGGAATCCAATTCCCACAGCTTTGCGAAATCATTTCCGTATGCTGAGTGCCATTCATATTGCATGGCCCCGGACTTTGCATTTCCAGCCGAACTTCTGCTGGTGTTATATTTCTGGCGGAAATTGGGAGCAGCAGTCGGTACGTGCCGTAAAAGCTGCCAACTTGCAGCAATTTTTCACATTCCCCCCTTTCCCCTGGATTGTGGATCCGGGTTTATGGGGTCGTCGTAGCCGGCACGCAATTACGGGGGATTGGCATTACCAGGGCTTCCCGAGATCAGCCAAACTAATATCCATTTCGGCTTGTCCCCTGTCCAAAACACAACGCATTAAGGCGGAAGTGCATTTCGGGTTTATTTTGCATTTCGCAGAGACATGCACGTATTCATATTTACCTAAATAACTACTCAGAGCGGAGGGATCAGAGGGGAGGACATTCTCCTGTTGTCCTTTTTATGATGGGCATACAAATGCTGAGCCAAAAAGGATTTTACTTACAAACGAGCGAGCAGAGGAAAAAGTGCAGAAGAATCGCATTGTCCCTTTGCCAGGAAAAAGGACGAAGGATGGAGGACGAATGAGGGGTCATAAGCCAGGGCATAGACAAGCGCACAAGGATATGTAGTGGCATAAGGATTTGTTTTGCCCGGCTGCAGATGATGAGGATGATGATGAGCCTGCTCCTTCGCCTCTCAACTTATGTGCAGTCACGGTCTGTCTGCTTTGTTATCCTGAGCCGAGGCTGCCGTCTCTTTCTCCCCGACAGTTGCTGTCTCTTTCAGTGTCGCATCTTGTCTGGGACATGGGACATGCGACATGCATAAGTGGCTGCCTCACAAAACTTGTTATTTGTATTTACTTTTGATTGTTGCAGCTGCATTTTGTCTTCCTTTTTTCCACTGCAGACAAGTGTCAACATTAAAATTGCACTTTACTTTAGCTTTTATTCTACATCGCTACTCCCAAAACAATTAAATGCCTCATCGCATCCCACTTTTTCTTTAACTATTTCGGGTCGGCTGCATTTTTCATGGGCCAACTGACAGGTTTCTTTGCCCTTTAAAATTTGCATTTCGGATTTTCTTCATTTCTGCCAATTTTTTCCGTTGACGTCACTCACTGCAAAATGAACTGTCAAGCGGGAAAATCGAAGAAACGAAACGAGGCTGTCACTGACTGAATGATGCTTTAATGGGCTCTTTCCATCTCATGTTGCCAGTATATGTGAGAAACGGCATGTCGAGAAAAAATATTTGTCGAAGAGCTGACAACAGAATGCTGATCAAATGTATCCAATACGGATCGAAATGAAATAAGGAGGTTAACTATGTCACATCAGAACATATTAGCTATATTTGAAGAAGAGAAACAGTTCCGTAAAAGTTTATACTTCTATATTAGTATCGAACTAGGAATATTGTATATCTGTGCAGTTTTTGAATATTTTTTAGTAACAATAAGTTTTTCTAAAATATTTTATGCTTCAAATAATTTTAAAATATTTTATATTAACAATTTTCTTCTTAAAGAATTTCTTATCGCCTAAAATAATATTATGAAAACTAACAAACGATTTGATTAAGACAAAAGATTAATTTTTCTTCACTTTAATTTTTTTTTTCCTATCATATCCCTATTTATCGGTAAATAATGTATTATTATTATATATTAATTGGACAAGATATATTCTATTAGGTAAAATTATTATTATTAAATATTCGAGTTCTCCCAAAATGTTCCAACTTCATGAGGACAGAAATGTCTTTATTGACTGGCTCGAATGGAGCCATGGATTCCACTCCACTTAACAGAAAGCACTCAACCCAACTGCACTGACTGGCAAAGGCCAACACATGACGTCAGGAACAGGTCGGAATTTCCCTTGCCCATTTTCCGCACTTTCCCCGCAGCTTTCCTTGGCAGAAATAAAAGCCCCCTGCTGGCCAACGCCAGGCACCCACAAATAGCATTTTGTGTCTATTTTAGTGTAATTTTCCACTTAAACGGTTTTTTCACTCGCAGGCTGGTGGAAAGCCTTTGGAGAATCCCCTCCCAAAAGCAACCGAGAAGTCATCTGCTTGTGCTGCGTCTGGCAGCCGCCAAAAAATGCCAAGTTGGAATGAAAATTATTGGTTGCCCCTACCCCCTGCGGAAAATGGATAACCGATGGAGGACGAGGGAAAATATATGGACGGCTCCAAATTGAGTTTGAGCGGTTTTTCCAACCCACCCCGTAGTTTTTCACTCTTCTCCTATCGATTTCAATTGTGTTAAGGCAACTGTATCTCCCCCGATTTTCCTACCCCTTTCCCATGCTTCTACCCTTCTGGCCAACTTCAAAGTGAGCAGCGTGCAATGAAATTGACACCCGCAGCGTCGACTCCATTGGAATAAAACTATGGATGGGTGAAAAATAAATGTGTAACGAAATGGAAGGATCTCGCATCGGCCCCCTTCACCATTTCACCACATTTTCCGACGCCATTTGCCTTGGCAATAAAACCATTTTAATGAGATTCAAGCTTTAAATTTCGCGCTTTATTTACGTGAGTGTTGTACGAAAGGGAAAAAGAGGAAAGCGGCTGGCCACAAAGGGTATGGCATAAAAGTGGGCAAAGGAGTGTTAACTTTGATGGCTTAAAAAATAAGTTAACGACTTTTTGCTACCCACCATTCATTTCATTACCAAAAAAGGAATTTTTAAATTCATGTCAATTTGATTTATTTTAATATAAAATTAAACTAAAACTTAATCTATAAAACTCCTCAAAGAAAATGAAAAGACTTTTTAAGTGACAAATATTCTCTTGAAAAAAATAAATCAAATTTTAGAAATTAAATGAATGTTTAATTGGTCGTATTTGCTGCATCATTATATTGCGAAAAATATTTGCAAATTAATTGGGCAGGATTTGTTAAGGATTTTTACCCATATTTTCAAACATATTTTTAGATCGTTAACGATAAAATAAAAGACTTTTCTGTATTCATGTGTCAACTTTCATTGTTGTTCCTGAACCGAATATACCCGAAGGACATTCCAAAAAATGGGCTGACTCAATTATGTAACTCAACGAGAATTTTAATTAAAAGCATGCAGATGATTTAATTGATTCCTGTGTATAACGCATACGCCGCGTGGGCCCTCACTGACCAACCAACACAGACTAAGCAGCCCACTTAGAGAGAGTTGGGCAAATATTTTAACAACTTTGTTACGGCGTTTTTATGAAAATTGGACACCAGCGAAAAACAGAAGACAGCTGCGAAGATGGAGCCTCTGAGATGGAGGTTTACACAGTTAATAATAAAAACCATTTACTATGCTAATATTTGATCGGCTTGCAGGTCAGCGGAGAAGGCGAAGAAGGATGCTTTTGCCCATCTCGAGCAATTTTTCACGCTTGGCGTATGGGAATTTTGAATTTTGGACACGAGATGAAAGATGAACAAAGTCAAAAATCCAAGTTGAGTGCCGGGAAATGTGTTTGCGATGGGTTAAGTATGACTTACAGTATGCATATGCATTTCATAGCCCACCCTACGACTTTTAGTTCAGTCTCGTGTTTGCTTTGACTTTGAGCGAGGCAGCCATGAAAAATTAAAAAGGGATTTCCATGCGGCAGCTGAGAAGCATTTTCAGTAGTAGTAACTTGAACAACTTTTTCCACTCGCTCGCCTGTCAGCATTTTCTTCTCGATTTTTCGCCGCCTGCGAGATGATGTATGTCGGACAAGTGCTTGAGTTCGAGTGGAATGTGGTGGTGAATGTGGTGGTCCTGCTGCTGCAGGATGTGGGTTAGTCAGCCAAGCATGTGGCTTGCATTTAATTACGGGATTTCCCCGGATCCCAGCCACAGACTGCCGGATGAGGGAGCTAATTGAGCTGCGAGCGAGTGAATTGCCTGGCCAATATTCTGCGGTGAAAGCACTTTCTTTGGCCACTAGTTTTGGCATATACATAATAAGAGGGTCGACAAGTCAGGGATGGCCTGGTTTTTGGTTTTTGGTCAAGGACTTCTATTATTATTTATCGCTTTCTGCCTTAAAGTAGTTCTAAACCATGAAATTTAGTATCAATGCTTTAAAAACAAAACAAAATCATTCTCATGTCATATTCACAGCTTTAATTGGGTTTCAATTAAAAAGTATCCTTTGATATGAATATTTACTATTGGTCTTATTTCTAATGCATAACATATTTTATTCAGCTCAAATGCTGAGTGATGAAAATCGACGAAATATGTGTATTGGATACACAGTTGTCTTCAAAATAATAGTGTTGACGCTCAGAAAGAGAATCACAACTTAATAAATACTTAAGAAAATCACCAGGTATACAATTTATAAAAAAGATATTTTTAAACAAATAGCTTAGAAGTTATTAAATTAATTAATAATTAATAATAATCTTGTCTTAGGAAATGTGCATCTTAAATTAAAGGCATACTGCCTTGGTAATAATCCATGAATTGCTCAAATATTTTTAAGATTAAAAATATCCCTGAACTAGCTTAAAACTCGATGTTCAAGCACTGCGTAACTTAGAGTAGAGTTTCCTAATTAAATAAATGAAATATATGTTGGATATCCAGTTAAAAATTCCTCTTTTAGGATTTTCAAGTTAAGTCATCACACTTTTTTTTATCACTTTAGTCAAAGGTAATCCCTTCTGCACAATTCCTTTAGCTAACTTGTTTGCCAAAACGAAAAACTTTCTTTGCACTCTCAACAAAACTGAAATTGCGATAGGTCAGGTTCTGGCAGCCCCTGAAAAATGGAACAGCTTCCATTAAATTTTGCTGCTCGATTTGCCAGCTAAAGGTGACCAAGGACATCAATTTGCCGCACCTACAGTAAACTCTAAATAAAATATAAAAAAAAGAAATGCCGGGGCTTACCTTGTGCAATAATAAAAATTCGTTGTACAAGGTAGTTGGCAACTCGTAAAAGTGTTGCCAATGTTGATGTGGCTGCTGCTGTTGTTTTCCTTGTTGTTGTTTTAGCATCAAATGCTTTGGCGAACTTTTGGCTTAGTTGTTGTTGGCGATTTGTTGTTTGTAGATTTTGTATTAGCCATAGAACATAGTTGTTGCCAGCGTTGTTGTTACCGTTGATGACCGAGTGACTGGACCTGCTGCTGCTGACGATGCTGATATTGCTGCCGTGCAGTTGCTGTTGCACATGATGTTGCTGCTGTTGCCGCCGTTGATATTGCTGCTGTTTCCGTTCATTGTTTGTGTTTCGAGAGAGAAAGAGTTTTAAAACGTTTTGTGCTTATTGTTTTAGCCACTTGTCATGGAATGAATTTGAAAACTATTTTATTTGGTTGTCTCCTGCCCTTTTAGGCCATTGTAAACAATATCTGTTGTTTGTTGTTTATTTGTTTGCTCGCTTTCTGATGAATTGTTTATGGGTATTTGGCTAACGATAAGGGAGAACAATAAAAATTTAATTTTTAAAATATTTTCGTGTGTGCTTTTTTCGGATTTCACATTTCCTTTCCGCTGCTGATGATGATGGGAAATGGCAGCCCATATGCCAAAAGATTTATGACCATACAAAATGGCAAGCGGCTGTCTTGCCCCCAACTCCCCAGCTCCCCTGCGGCCCATGAATTATGCAATGAAATTTATTTCATTTTTCCCATTTGAGGGCGAGAGCACATGAGTTTTTTTAGGACTGTCGAGGTCGTCGACAGACTTCTGTTATTGTTATAAATGAGGGAGAAATGATTCTTTAATTTATGAAAAAAGTAGCTGCATCAAAGATTCTAAAAGAGGTTCTAAGAGTGAAACAAAAGAAAATCTTGCTCCCGGATACTTTGACACCTCGGCATACTCTGAGTTTCTTCTTTTTGACCTAACCCATTGTCCCCGTCCACTTTTGTCGCCTGTCTTTTCTTCCACTTATTAATCAGCGTTTTGCAAATATTTGCATACGAGGCACGTTTCAGACATTTTTCTTCGGCTCATTCCTTTTATTTTGTTCTTATTATTATTATTATTACTCTTTGCTGCCTCTCTGCTTTCCCCAATTTTCCATTTTCCCATTCTCTGCGTGTAAATGCGAGATTTCTTTGCACCACATTAAGCAAAACACAGAAAATGGGTAAAAATATGCAGAAGAAAAGTATTTAAATCAGTTACGAAATTTTTAATGTCGTCCAGTTGGTGTACAAAACATTAAATTACTCAGGATAGTAAAGGAGTTAAAGAAGTTACATTAATGTTAAGATAAGGAAGGAAAGAAAGAAGGAGAAATTAATAACAGCAGAACTTTTAATGAGCGCCCTAATAAAATGTTATTATTGTGAGGAACACCAAATAAAATATTCTAGTATTAAGTAAATTATATTTAAGAAAGCTTAAACTGATTAAACACAAATGATCCTTATACATTTTCTGAATTTGGTTAAGGTTATTTTCGGAGGACAAAACAAATATATTTGTACATAATTTTGAAAACCCAAAAAGGCAACCTTTATCATAGTTCTAAGAGAACTTTCAAGTTCCCTAAAAATATGATGGGAATAGATCATGAAAAACACTAAAAGAGCACCAAAGTCATGTTATACATGAACTATATATTGGATCCACTTGTTAAGAATTAAAAAAACGCCCTAAAAACTCGAAGCTTCCTGCCTAATTTAAAAGCTGCCTTGACAAGAACACGCCACCGATTGATAGCCCGAACATCTCCAAGGAACTAATCCTTAAGGCGACCCCCATAATCCACATAATCCGCCGAACCGAACACGTTGCTGCCTATCAGAGAAACGATTTTAAAAACAGAATAAAGGAGCCGCTGTAAGGACATTTGGCAGGCTTCCTCTGTTATCCTCCATCCCCTTTGACGACCCCTGATTGCTGCTGTATTTCGGGCCCTTCCACTGACGCCACATCAATTTGTAATTATACCCTTGCAGAGGGTATTATAATTTTGGTCAGAAGTTTGTAACGCAGTGAAGGAGACGTTTCCGACCCCATAAAGTATATATATTCTTGATCAGGATCAATAGGGGAGTCGATATAGCCATGTCCGTCTGTCCGTCTGTCCGTCTGTCCGTCTGTCCGTCTGTCCGTCTGTCCGTCTGTTTCAATACCGTTTGTGAGCTCAGTTTAAAAGCTAGCGATCTGAAACTTTCACACGCGTCCTAAAACATGTGTACGCAGATCAAGTTTGAAAATCGCCCCGATCGGACGTCTATATCCTATAGCTCCCATAGGAACAATCGGATATATCTAGCAAAGATTGATGATATTTCGCGCAGTGTAAAAGCTATTGACATGAATTTTTCCAAATCGTATTTTTTTATGCATACCTTGATCAGGGTAAAAGCGCGTGGCAATCGGACGTCTATATCCTATAGCTCCCATAGGAAAAATAGGGTAAAATCGGTCCAAATTTTATGTTTTTCAGAATATTTCGCGCTGTGTAAAAGCTATTGCTATAAATTTTTTCAAATCGTATTTTTTTATACATTCCTTCATCAAGGTGAAAGCGCGTGCTGATCGGACGTCTATATCCTATAGCTCCCATAGGAACAATCGGATATAACTTTCAAGAATGGAAGATATTTTGTGCAGTGTAAAAGCTATTAACATAAATCTTTCCAAATCTTATTTTTTTATGCATACCTTGATCAGGGTAAAAGCGCTTGGCGATCGGACGTCTATATCCTATAGCTCCCATAGGAACAATAGGGTGAAATCGGTTAAAATTTAATGATTTTTAGGATATTTCGCACAGTATATAAGCAATTGACATGAATCTTTCCAAATCGTATTTTTTTATGCATACCTTGATTATGATAAAAGCACGTGACGATCGGACGTCTATATCCTACAGCTCCCATAGGAACAACAGGGTGAAATCGGTCCAAATTTGATGATTTTCTGAATTTTTCGCGTAGTGTGTAAGCTACTGACATAAATTTTTCCAAGTCTTATTTATTTACGCATATCTTGATTAGGGTAAAAGCGCTTGCCGATCGGACGTCTATTTCTTATAGCTTCCGTAGGAAAAATAGTTAAAGGCTGCGAAAGTATCCCTTTTTTTTATTTTTATATGACATTTTTGCAGTATAAAAGCAATTGACATTAAACGATGAAAATCTAGTTTATTTATGTATACCTTATTCCTTTGGCTACTTTTTCAGTTTTAGCAATTTCGGCAAAGTCTGCAAGGGTATTAAAACTTCGGCTTGCCGAAGTTAGCTTCCGTCCTCGTTTGTAAATGAAATTGCCTTTGCTCGGGCTTCCCTTTTTTTCTTGCGCCCACCAGAAAAATGCAAATTTGACAAATTGATTTAAAGCCCCGGTGTCGGCCAATTTAAATGCCAAAAAATAATTACACATGCATGCGCACACACGAGCTCTGGATTTTTTCCTTGTTTTTTTTTGTTTCATTTATTATGTTTAAGCCGCCTTCACTTGACACTTTTGGGTGTTTCGAACTTTTGATCTTTCGATGGGACCGCTTGCCTGATGGATATCACCGCCCGATTGCCGAGATTCGCACTCGTCGTCGTCCTCGTCACTGGCACCTCACACATTCAGTTGGCAGCTCCGGCCCAAGTCAAGTATCCGCACCGTTGGCCCGCCGCTAAACGAACTCCGCCGCGCTCCCGAGTGAACTGACTTAGGGCTACGAGTTCCGCCAGCAGGTGACCCGAACTGGGACTCGGCCATCGCCCGAAGCTGGGTCTTATCAGACCCGAAGGACGACCCGAGAGAGGGCAACGCAGCCGCACAGGAGAGAGCCGGCTTTCGTTGGTGTGTGGTGAGTTTCTGCCACCAACTCGCGTTGGTGAAAGAACCCATGTGCCGTGTGGTGAGTGTCGGCTCTTATCAGTGGTGCATGGTATGGGGGACAGCTCTTATCGGCCTCCAGACTGCTGCCCCCATGCCACATCCTTGCCGGCTGTCTCGTCCTTCGGCCTGACGAATGTGAGCAGGCGTCTGGCAGGAATGTGCCAAAATGTCGAGCAAACAACGTCGCCAAGCTGGTTTTTGTTTGCCGCAAAACCGATGATAAGACCAAGTCACTTGCCAGTGAGGGGTCCCGATTTTTAACCAGAGTGCGGGGTGATTTTCGGAAAGTCACTCTACTCTCCTCCAAGTTATCAGTCAAGTTACGGGACCCTTTTGCTGCCGCATTAATGGTTATTTCTTATATATTTAATTAGGGTTTGTGTTATGGGTAATTAAACATATTTTAGACTAAGCTTGAAAAACAACTTTTATTAAAAAATTGGTTTACCTAATTATAAATTTTTTGTCTTTTATAAAATGGGCAAATCATTAAAGAATCATTTATGTATTTCCTTTTTAATTTGTTGGCTTATATTTTATAAATTATTATATTGAATGGAAAAGAATTCAAAGATTGTGGTGTGGTTTAAATAACAAAAAATCAAAACAAATTTTTAAAAAATGTACATTTCAGTTTGTAATACTTGAATCGATAACATTTATTTTCTATTAGGAGTGTCAACGAGTCCTTACCCAAAGTATAAAGTGTTGAATAAGTAAACATAATATCGATTTAAACTAGTCCACAGCCATTGGAAAAAATATCGTTTGCTCTACGATGACAATCAAAATGTGTGCTAATTGACAGAAAGTTCAAGAGAAAAATTGTGTCGTTCCCATTTTAATTATACTGGTAAAGCTACGACCAGGACTGTAGAATACCACATTGGCAGACAACGCGAACCCTTCTCGGCATGTTAAGCTGGTATGTATAAATGTATTTAATTAGTATGCAATTATATAAGATATACAATAACTTTAACTAGGGAAGGGGAATTGCCACAAGAAGAGACGTTGGAAACATTACAAGCTGTTATCCTACTTGACAATAAGTTTTAGCCTGTTGTAGAGAAGAAACACAAATGTCCTGAATTATTCTGAATTGGTATTATTTTAGTTGACTAAATAAGATAGTTACCAATAAAAGCAGTTAAATAAGCTGTTAGTCTCTCTGTGTCTTTATTTTATTCAAAGTAAAACTTTAGTACAACAAAAAATGATTTAATATTTTCTCGTAAGTTTACTTAAATCGAGTTCAGATAACCTCAAATGTCTAAATCACAAATAAAAAATAAAAATGCGTAAAGAGACATTTTAGATGAGATAAAGTTGAAAACGCAATTAAAAAACAAATCTGATGATTCTGTAGTGAAGATTCAACAGCTTGCCTGCCGTGACCAGTCACAATTTCCCCCTCAATTTCTCCATTTCGCTAGGTTCCTGATGAAGAGCTGCAGCGCTAGGACAACGTGTCTAAGCCATGTTTTGTGCAGTCACAATGACCAGGCCACAGCCACTTCAGCTCCTTTCTCCGTTGGCTGTCGCCTCGGAACATTCATTCCGACATTCATGCTCCTGTCAGCCGGAGAGCGTTGTTTTGGCCACTCCATCCCATCGCGATGCCAGCGGCGCCGAAGGAAATCCATCGCTTTTGCTCGCTTTCCTCGTGGCAAAATCAATGCAGCGGCATGTCAGCCTGGTTTATTGGCTTCCATTTGGACGCTAAGGAGGCCAAACTAATTACCGTGCATAATAAATCAGATCGCTGTCATAGTCTGCCATTAGTTTGACACCACCCCTCACCAACTGGCCACTGGCCACTGGGCACCGAGCGCACCGGGTCTTCTAGCATTTATGCAAATTGGCAGCAATGCCTGGGCCCGGGGCGAAGTATCGGACTTGGCTCGCTGCTTTCTGCATTATTAATTGCAATTTGTTTGCTATTTTTTCCAAGAAAAGTACACCAGCTTTAACCTAATAATAGTCAAGCACATGACTCCCCCCTGACCACGCTGACAATCAAGTTTATTTATGCAAAATTAATTGATTTCTATTGAAAACGAAGGGGCACCGGATAGTGCAATTGACACATTTTCTCGGAACAAAATGAGGGGTAATTTATAATCATGGCACAATTGAAAGCATTTAATATAAAAGCCACGTAGCGTGACTCCGGCGACGAAGGGGTCAAATTGTTACAAATTGTTACCCCATAGACGGATATAAAGCTTAATCACATTAATCAAGACTTTTTATTTCGACATTGTAACTGGAAATATAGCATGTTAATACAGAAGGAATGATTGATTTCTGTGGAACAAAAACTAAAAGTTTAGTTAAGGTTAGTTATTTCTGATTACAGCTCTCACCTCAATTGCCTAAAGAAGTTGACTTTTTTGCGAGTTTCAGACAGATTGTGCATGTGATCATCAAGAAACTTAAAATCCAGGCCAGTGGTGAACTCAAAATCGTTTTTGGGCTTGCGATTGAATACCGGATCGGGTGTTTCGGTTTTCGGAGTGAGTGGCTTACAGCGATTTGGATATGGTTGAGAATATTGTCGTGTGTAGCTCGACAACATTGGGGGTTCCAAATTGTCCTCGATATCGACTGTTCCATAGCGGGGACTGATGAAAATTTTACTTAATTTAGTAGTCAAATATTTTAGGAAAAAAATATTTATTTTGCGGTAATTTAAAATAAGCTAAAAATAGTTGACTAACTATAGATTAATTTAAAAATAAACAATAAGAGCCACTTTAAAGGATTTTAAGAATTTTTAAAATTCTGTATTTTGATAATATGAAAACTAGTGAATTTTAAAAATATTTGCAATCTGTACTCTGTGCTTTGAAAAAGCATCCCTAAACAGGATAATCATCCACTCACTCATCCATGTTGAACGACTGAAAGTTGACCAGCTTTTTCTCCTGCGTAGAAATCGTCCTTAACCCCTTGGCGCCCTCCTCGAGCATTGCCTGTGTGGTGGTCTTCAATTCATCCTTGGTCATTGATTCCCACAGCTTGGTCTTCTTTTTGCAGGCCATTTCGACTGGGATTGTGTTTGGGGAGGTGAGTTAGCGATGTGAACGGGCACTCGGAACGGGCACTCGGAACGAAAGTGTACTAGACGATCTGAAAGGTTTCTCAGAGTGAATTCCCTTCAACCTTTGAGCTCGCCATAATCCACAGCGCACAAAAACAGAAATCACATCATTAAACAGCCAGAGAGTTGCTCGCAGTCGTTGCACAATATTATAAACGCCACAATTGAATTCACAAGCGGATTTATTGTGGGCGGAGGCAAATGGTTTCTGAATCAATAGGCGATGAAAATGAAAATCGAATAGTGGGTCAGCGGTGGAAATGCACAGTAGCCAAAGTGAGGGGACGTTTCGGGGGAAAACTTCGGTGTGTTTAGTGGCCAACCCGACTACAATGGCCAATAACAATGGCCGATTGGCTCTTTGGCGTCTCTCATAATGAGCTGCCACCTCTGTTTGCTCTTGCAACGACATTAATACGGGCTAATTAAACAAATATTGTGTGCATCCGACTGCGAGTGTCCGTGCATGTGTGTATGAGTGCATGTGTGGGTGGGGGTGTGACTGGTGTATTATGGCTGCGTGACTCACTTTTTAGAAAATATATTTTTTTCTTGGAAGTAGGTAGCTCTTTTCATAAAGGTTATTAGAAACTAAGTGTTACGTTAAGAATATCAATATCTTTACGCACCCTTTTCAATTTTTTCAAATAAGTAATCGATTTTGAATGTTGCATGAAAACCTCCTAGATATCATTAAAATCAAGAAAATTAGATTAAAACTCTTATATAATAAGAGGTTATATTTGAGTTTATTTGGCATAAAAGTATTAGAGACATCAGAACTGCATTTGTCACTATCGGATATTAATAACTTGCCCGTGAGTGTATCTCTAGGCGTGCCTACGCATATCAGGCGACTTGTATCAACAGTCGACATCGGGTCGTCGATGACACCAAAACCGAATGTTGAACAACATAATGCGATGGCCTTCGAGGGGGATTGGCGGAAACGGAAGTGATGCAGAAAATGAACGCATGGCAATCGGGGTGGCAGTGGTCTTCATGTGGCTCATAAATTATGGGGTAGCATTTTGCATGCACTGCATTTGCGGTGCATAATTTGCATTTTTAAGCATTTTCACAGTGCATTGGGCATAATTAAAATCAACGACGCCACCGCTCCTGACCACCAGACCAGCTCCGATTTCGATGCTGCCGCCAATTAAAAAACGACCCGTAACCTTGAAGACAGGGGAACGGCGACACAGAGCAAAATATTGAACATTAAGCATTAAAAAGAAAATGGGAATTTATAATACTTTTTTTCAGCTTTTCTTTTAATATGGGTTTAATACTCAGATTTTTCATTCGGCAAGGCAAACTAATAACTCCATCAAAACAAAAAAAAAACGTTTGACTTAATCACAGGTCTTAATAAACACAAGCTTTCAGTAAATCAATTTTTATATTTTTTTTTTTGTTTTTTATATTGTTAAACTAAAAATAATAACTAGGACTTATTTTCCTGATCCCAATATATTTACGATCTCTGTGAACAACGCAATTAGTACTAATATTTATAGGTACATCCAGTTCAGGAAACTTTACTTTCCACCAGAGCTTGTCTGCTGTTTTCTAATTTTATAAAATTATATCTCAGTGGAAAGATGTTGGCGACAGGCAAGTTTCTCACCTCAAAGTTTTGCCCGTCCCCAGTTGACTTTTACAAGGTTTTCTGGGGGCGTGGCCGCATCAGCATCGTGGGCAGGCAGCCGTGGCGCACTTAACAAATTAATGTCAAGCCACAATAAAAGTCAACAGCTGGCTGCAGCAGGGGCGGCGAAAGGCAAAGGCCAAGCTGAGTAACTTTGGTGAAAGGGGCAGTGAAAGTGGTGCGGTGTGCAATGAACGGAATCCGACACACATAAGTTAAGCAAATATACTGCTCACCCGCACACCCATAAAAATGCAGATCCAGATGCACAGATGGTCGGCCGTCGTAAAGTCTTAGGGAAAGGGGAAGTGCACCTGGTGCCAAAGACTTGGGACTCGGGAGATGCTGAATCAAATTCTCATATTAAATAATCGAATTCCTCGCATGCACATCATTTCAAATTCACGTTCGCACTTCCATCGACTTGCACTGCACATTCATTCCACATTCACATCCCACTTTAGCACACGCAGATGGAAACAGTTTTCTCTCATCTCCCCGAAATATTCACCGAGCTTTTTTGTATCTTGCATCTTTAAGCAATTTTTCTCGCCAACTCGCTTTGCCCGAGATTTTGCGCTTGACATATAATTTTTATGAGGTTAGGCAGTGGCGTGTACAAAGGGGAATTTTGGACTAAAATTAAATAAATTAAGAATTTTAATTACGACATGTTTTATCCTTAAACCTTCTTTTCTGTCTGAAGTTATGAAAATAGTCACAAATAGATGAACAGAGGGTTGAGAAGACAAGTATGTGAAATTATTCCATCAAGAAATCTATATCTTAATTTGTAGTCTCTAACAATTTTGGATTATTTTTAAAGGATACCACAGTAGATTTATTTTTTATTACTAATAACCATAACCATTTTCGCAACGGCCCTATTTGAAACACCCATGTTAAAGCCGTTTCTGTATCCTTTCGGTATCCTTTATTTGCGTGTGGCAGAAACTTCAGGCACGCACGTCCTTCCCAACTTTTGATGGCTGAGGTGTGAAATTTTGCGAGCTGCACGAGGCAAATAGGCATAAAATTATTTAAAACTCGACGCGAGACTGCACAAAAGGATGCGGCATAAAAGCGTGGCAGCTTCCCAACTCGCACGCTTCCAATTTAAAGTGGGAAATTTCTTCCTTAAATTTGTGGGGAAATATCCATCTTCTGCTTTTTCAGTTTTTGCCAGGCCTGGACGTATTCCTGGTAAAAACTGGACAGTAGGTGAGGGACACGTTCCACGGCCAGTTCCAAAGGTACCAGTTCGGGTTCACAGAGATTCTTAAATTTGATGAATAGAAACTGCTCCTTGCGAGTATTTTGTACCATATCCAAAATAGATTCTACTTGATATCCTCGTTCAAAAGCATCGACTGAGGGAACTGGCGGAAGATTCGAAAGATCGGTAGAAAACTTATTGAGTGGTTTTTTAACGGTTTGAACTAGTGTTAATGGAGGTGGTTTTGTTGACAAGGTGCAGGCCCTTTTATTCACAGGTTTCTATGGAAGTTACGATTAGTTTTTGGTGGATAAATTCTTTGTAATACCCACATTTTCCTGTGTAAACGGAGTTCTACGTTTTCTGGCCACTTGCTCCATTTTGGCATGTAAAATATATTTATTTATGCTTCTCTGACTGTTCCTGTGGTTGAGTGCTATAAACTAAAGTCGAAATCTTTTTGCTTCTTCCGAGAGGCACTTCATAGCCTGTTCTTCTCTGGAAATTCATATGACTTTCGCTTCTGTTGCCTGTTCTCCAAATGAACTTCCTGCGGCCAAAACAACTTCACGGCACTTTGAGCCGGCCCATGGCAACGGGGTGGATAGGGATGGAAAGCGGTGGAAATGCAGTTAAATGAGCGGAAATGCAAAATTAACTCGCCACGAAAGCACAGAGCAAACAAAGAAATTGTTGTACAACTAAAAAATCCCCCCACACACACACTCGCAGAGCGAAGAAAAATGAAGAGGAAATAGAGAATGAGAAAATCAAGTGCCGTGGCACAAAAAAAAGGGGTAGAAAAAACGCAATTGAAAGCAAGTAAAGCGGCAGAACAGAAAAAATGTATAATAGCAGAATAAACGTTGCCACTTGGCCAAATTTAATGCAAATATTTGGCCAGCCGCAAAAGGAAATGTTGTCTTTCCCGCTCCCGACAAAGAGTTTTCATTGCTTTTCACTAATGTGATGGTTTTTTCCGAAGGAAATCGCGAAAAATTAAGTGATTAAATGTAGTTCTCTTTTAGATATGATCTAATATTTTAATTGAATACGATTATTTTAAAAACTATTTTGAAGTCTCCTATTTTTATTTAGATTATTTCATATACTTTTTGTACATACATGTAATATGGCGATTTCTACCTTCTTTTCTAAGCATTAATGGCTTATATATTTATTTAGAAACAATAACCATTTTCTAATCATAATTTTTTTAATTTCAATTCGCTTGGAGCCGAGTTTTTTTATTTGCAAGCGATTTCCAACATCAGTCTTTATAACGAAAACGGAAAATGCATAGCGAAGGCAATCTATTCCTGGCCATAAACCAAACTTCTACGCGCTTATGGAAAATATATATTTCCGGTCTTCTCCGCCCCAATTTCAAATTATCCTCCGCAAAGAATTCCGCTGAGCTTGATAAATAGAAGCAAAGCGTTCGAGAATTGTGCATGATTTATTTATTCTTTTCCTCGTTTTATGCCGGTCTGCTCTTTATTTTCTTGCTGTGACAACGACGCACTTTTCGGGATTTTCGAAATTGTATTTAATTGTTGGGGTAGCCCAACAGGACAGGGAGGTCCTTCGGTCGGCATTTAAAATTAAACAAACATTCTGCCTTGCCATGGAAATGACAATAAAAATAGCATCAAATTTATGGCATACCGAAATAGAGAGGTGGAGCAAAAGAGAATGGAAAGGAGGAGAATCTCGTTGAGGGCATTTTATTCTTTTGCATCGTCCCTTTATTCCAACTACATTTTGTCTGTCCTTCACTTAAAAAAATAGTTCAGTACTTTAGGCTAAGGTAAGTATTATAAACATAATTCATTTTAATGAAATAACTGGAACAAAATGGGTAATAAATTAACTTACTTTGAAATTAAGTACAATGCTTTTAAAATAATTGAATAAACTCATTTTATGTTTAGAAGAGAAATCTAGTTTCATCAAAATACTTATATATACTTATGTATTCTTATTCATATAATTATAGGAAAAAAACAAAAATCCCTATTAATATTTTAAGTCAAAAAACATTTTTATAAGAAATTTGTATTAAATTTTGCCCAAGTGTTTTTTGGCAAGTGGCGTCTGTTAACTTGGCACTCACTTTGGCTTTTTCAGTCGCACTGACTTTGCACAATTAATGGCCCCCTTCTGCTGTACCGCTGCCCCGCCCCCTTTCGCTCACCGCCTCCCACCAGACATTCCCAATTCCGCGCAATAATTGCGGCCATTGTGTGAGAACCTTTTGCCAAGTGTCTTGTGTGTCATCGTCACCGCTAAATTTAACATAATCCTCGGATGCTTCAGACCGAATGCTGCCCACTCCGGCAGCTCCTGTTGGGCGCCAGGAAAATTGTTGGCAGCTGACGCGACTTGGCCAGGATGTTACTCGAGGTCCTTTGTTAGCCCTTTTCCGCTGCTGCTCATTCGCCTGCCGCCTTTCTTCTTGCGCATAATTAATTTCACGTTCTTGCCAAAAATTATGCGACAGGATTTGTTTGCCCACGCTCCTTTTCCCTCGCCGAAAGTCCTTTACTTTGATTTCACTCAGCTTTAGTTTGTTGTATTTGTTTTGCATTTTGGCAACATCTCGTCAGCCGCCTTGCGAACTTAAATCCTCCGTCGGACAGTCAAGTTGGCCAATTGTGCTGCAAAGTCAGCTTAAAATAAAAAGTTTCTTGAAATTAATCAGTGTAAACGGCTAAGCCGTTTTAAATGTAGAAAATGCCATTGTCAGGTCTTAAAAGTTGAGTGCAGCAAAGTGAATCTCTTAAACCAACAAGTTATCGTTTTAGTAGGTTTATCTTTAAGGCAATTCCAGTAAAATGTCTATAGTTTTCATGTCAACATTTAATAAGTTTTGCTTATTATTATTATTAATAAAGTGTCGCTGTCAGGAAAAGTTCACATACTTGAAAATATTGCCTTCTATATATATATACAATGCAAGCAAGCTGATTTAAATTTCGAAGCAGAAACGAATCGACTGTCGCCTTGATTGCTGCATTCGAAATGCAAACAAATGTCCGGCCAGACAAACACTATCAAAAATGTATATTTATCGATACAATACTTGCACATTTCCTGGCATAAGCTTAGGTGCCCCTGAACCCCCGGACTTAACACTTGGCCATTTATAATTGTTTCGCAGCTGCAATCGATAACAATTTAAATCCATTGCTGCCAATAAACGATTATTGCAGCTACCAGCAAAACAGAGCTCCTCCTCAATTTTTCCCCGATTTCCCCACCAACAGAGCTCAAATGGGTTCTAGGCCATCAGCCCCATTAGCCACAGAGTGGTAGTCGCATATAAGCCAGCGGACATTTTGCCAGACTCTCGTTGAGCTTATTATCTTCATAAAAACGCCGCCAGACAAAACACACATACAGAAAGAGATGGCAGACGGACTAACCAAAAACGAAATTCATTGCAAAAATGGTCAAAAATGGGCGAACGAAAAATTGAGTGAAAATTCATGGGTGAGGGCGGGGTAACAGGCGGACAATCCATCGAGGAGCACTAAATAAAGTTTGCACTGAAAAACTATTAGGGTTTCGGCACAAAAAATTCACTTAGAATGTCACAGACAAAAAATAACAACAGGCTAGGGAAAAAAAAATAACCGAAGTTTATCCACCCATGGAAACTCGTATTTGCAAATTCCAAAAGAGGCAATGAAATGGCAACCGACTGCATGGGATCGGAGAACTCCAATTCGAAGGGTTTTTCGGGGGAGAACAAACCGAAACAGGAAATTAAAATCGAATCGTGTGTGCTTTGAATTGTGCAACTTCAATCTGAGCACGTGTATCTTGGTATCTGTGCATCTGCGGGTGTGCCCTCCAATAAGTAGGGGCCCCAGCATCAGAAAGTGTTTAATTTGATAGGACCCCGGGGACTCCAACGAAGGGGCGGTCAAAAAGTTTTCGCCGTTACCTTGACTTCCAGAATTTATGTGCAAAGTTTTTCCGCGTCTGCGACTGAGTGTGTGTGTGTGTGCGTGGCCAAATTATGCAATTTTAACGCATAAATTTCATGACTCGCGACCGGCGGCCATTGCAGGGAGGAAGCTCCAGATTCAGTATCCAGCTCCAGCTCCAGTTTCAGTTTCAGCTTCAACTTCCTCCTTCACATTTCCCCCGGCAACTTTGGCCCGAAGTTCACACAACTGCGACTGTCTAATTAAAGCGTCCAGCTGCCGGGACATCTTTTCTGGCCGTCTCCCAGAATCATTTTCCATCCTCAATGCCAGTGCAATTTAAATGCAGAAACCCAAATAGGTAAAACCGCTTTTATAGGCACAAAGGTGGGTATGATACCTTTATAGAACGGATGATTACAACAGGAATTTTTTAATCGTTTTTCAAAAAATTAATCTAGAAAATATATAAATAGTTTGCCTCAGACTGAAACTTACAAGAATTTTTATATTCAATTTATGAAAATGATGTACCAAAATTTGAGCTTTACAGCAAGAAAAAGGGAAGTTTTGTATCTGTAAACAAGTTCAACAATTTTTTGTTACTTAATTTTTCAAAACTTTTTTACTACTCTTACCGAAAAACCCGTCCCTAATGAACGCAAGCCAATCTGCTCAGATATTCATATATCCCGGCAGTGCATTAATCAACTCCGAGTGTATTCCATCTTCGTCTCGTCGCGACTCTGCTGTTGCCGGAGTTTGGTCTTGGTCCCGGTCGTAAATATAAAAGTTGGCATAGCTCCCCGGAGACAAATCAGTTTGATTTTGATTGCATCTTTTACGGCCTTTGGCACCTTATAACTTTTTCCGGCTCACCTGAGCGACCCCGTGAATTCTGAAGTGGCGCAGAAATCGGCGACACAGGTCCAAACCAAAGCCCGAAGCAGATGTCGGGTTGAGTTTCTATCATAGCAGACGCTTGTCTTAATCCCAACCAGCTGCACTGCGAGAAATTAATCAAAAAAGTCCACATAATTTGTATAATCAATTATTAAGTTGATGTAAATAAAACTATTTTTTAAATATACATCGCACTTTATATTTTACTTAATAATTTTCTTAATAGATATACAAGTAACTTTCTTAATTAAGTTTTATTTTAATTGTAAGCTTTGTCCTTTATTTTATGTTGAATATTACACAATATTGCATAGAACATTTTTTGATGTATTGTCACTCTTTGAATATTTTTTAAAGAAATAACCAAATATTTTTACCTGTGCTTTCCTTTCTCCTTTCGCTCAACTGCAGCTTGGCATCATTGGGCCATGTCCTGTATGTGTCTCGTCATGTTGTATCTCGTCCTTCGCCGCTCGCCTGCCTTTATTTGCCAGGATAAGCTCGTAAAACTTTTCGTAAGCCAAGAGACGAAAGGAGCATGAAAAAAAACTTGACTTTGTTTATTTGTTGTTTCGCTTTTTCTGGCCTTGTTTGCCGGAAGTTTTATGCGTGAGCCGAAAGGTGACCAAACGGCAAGGAGAACAAGGAAAATTAAGGACTTTAATGAATCGTCGGGAAGCGGTTGAAAGTCCTGTGAGAAAAACGTAAAGAAAGTATTTAAAAGAGATAGGAAAACCTCCTCCATGGCAGTTCTAAAAAATGTCTCACACAAAATGCTTTTACAATTGAAATGTCAATAATGTTTTATGACATTGCAGCGAAGGGCCCAAAGAAAACAAACCAAGAAGGACCAAGCACCCCCCAAAATATTTTCATTTGCCTGACAAATCTTGACATGCAACAGCAATCAAAAGCGACGGCTCGGGGTCTGTCCAGGGGGCAGTAGGGGGTTAAGGGTGTGGGCGCCACCGAAACAGGACAACATTTTGTGGCCTGTCTTGCGGTGTTTGCCTGAAATTGGCCAGAAACGAGCGCAAAAAGTACAAACGATAAAAGGGACAGAGGAAATCCAATTCAAAATGCCATCAGACATTCTAATTTCATTCATTTTTCAATACAATTCCAAGGTCCGGCCACTCACTTCCTTGTGGCCGCATAAATTGTGATTCCGATAAAGGCAAAACAGGCCAAAAACACGGAATCAACTGCGACAAGAACGGGAACAGTGATACTGACTGCTACTCTGTCGTGACTCAAAATTCCGGATTACACTCGTCCCGGGCAAATTGAATTTCTTTGCTCGCATTTCTTATTTCCGCAGCTTAGGTGAATTTCTTGCTCTGCAGTTGGGAATTTCATTTTTAGGGTATTCCAACACCTTCTGGAAACTCACATTGCTATTATTGCTATTCTAAATTAGCTCCAGTCATTCCAACAATTATAATTTATAAAAAACTGTGATTTAAACTAAAGCACATTCATATACCTTTTAGGCATTCCTTCTAAATAACTGTTCAAAATGTTCAAATCCTCTTTAACAAAGTCTTAAATTTTTAACTTAAAAAAAAAAGATTTTTATAATATGTTTTCGATTTCAAACTATCTGAGTTCATTTGTTATTAATCACATTACACAATCTTACTAAATTTATCAATAGAACGTTTTTTTTTAAATCCTTGAAATGAATTTAAAAAATCTTTTTAGCTATGAAGGGTATTTAATGATTCGCAAAGATATGACCTAACATAAATAAGAGTTCTGTTTCCTAACGCATTCCATCTGCATTCGCAACGCGACAATGTAAGTGACACTAACCCATTTCGAATTTCTTCGCAGTTGCATCTGCACAGAAACGGAGTGAAAAATGAAAAAAAAGTACTTATAAAAACCAGACAGTTTCCAGACAAAATGTCAGTTGAGTAAACTCGCCAGCGTATAAGTATTCAAAGAATTTCACAGTTTTCCCTACAAGATATGAATATGCATTTGAACACGGATTTAGGGTTTTTATTGCACCTTGATCTGGGTCTTCAGGGTGAATCGAAATAAGCCATTGCGCATTATTTGATCGGGTAAGCGAAATTGAATTTGGCCGCCGCAAAATGATAATTAGCATCATAAAGCACGAGTCCAACGCTCCTTGTAAACTAATTAAACCTGCACCGACAACAGCAACAATTGCCAACGTTTCGCCCGAAATGCAATCACTAATTAATTGTGGCAATAATTGCTTTATAAATAACTGTAAGCCCACGACTAGAAATTTGCCATACAGGTAAGTTTGTAAATGTTTGTTTATAAGTGTGCAATTGAGCAGGTGGGAGTTGGAAGTTGGGTGTTAAGTTTACGTCTGCCAATGAAACTCTTTGCGGCAGATTAGTTGATTTAGGTTGAAATGTACAAGTTGATTTAAGCCCTATAATAACCCTAGTTAATTTGTTAAAAAAATGATTGAACAATTTAGTAAGTATTATATCCTCACACAAATAAAAACACCTTTCTTGTAATGCTTGTATTTTATTATATATTGAAATGACTTATTGCAATCTATAAAATTGTAAAAAATTGCGATTGTCTTTTCTACCATTTAATAATTATTTCTGAGTGCAGACTTGAAAGCTCGCCAAATGAAGAGGGAGAGAAAGTGGCTGAGCTAAATGTTTGCCTAATGAGGCCAACGGCGCGTATGATTGATTTGGGTAACTTGGGACTGAGTGAAATACGCTTGGGGCTGGGATTTCTACTTGCATAATTCATAATTCAATTAATTCGCACTTAAAAAACTGGCTCGGACTTCAAGATGAGCAGCGCTTCATAGCTGAGATAGGCTGAAAATATGGCATTTTAATGGGATCAGCGATTGCTTTAATAAAAAAACTTACCAGCAAAACCCACACCAAATACCATCAGAAAATATTTTATGCGCTTTGACCAAGAGTAAGTTCCCTTTGGCAGCTTTTGGGCACATTTGGTACATAGTGGTTGGTAGTGTTTCTCGAGTATCTGAGCCAGATCATGAGTCTGCATCCTTAATCTTGGGGTTTTGGTAGGATCTAGTTCGATCTTGACATCCATTGAATTCCATTTTTCTTCTTTTTCCACATCGCTCAGGTCTTCCGATATGCTCTTCACAATTATGGAGCAATTGGGTAAAGTTTCCTTAACTGGAGTCAGAGTTAAAGCCACCTCGGTGGTATCAAATGGCTCTACCCTGCCTGTGGATGGATCCGCACTATAATCCGTATCATTGCTAATATGAACACGATAGATCATAACTTTATCGCTGGGATTGAGCAGTGCTATCAACCGCTTTTGGGTGTGCAAAATAGGCGCCTGAAAACTCAGGGTTAAAGGTGTAACAATTAGCTGAACTCCTGACATTTTCGATTGGAAGGACTTTAAGAATTTTGATTACAAATGATTTGAACATAAAACTACTATGTTGCTACTCGTACTAAATCAGTTCGGTTACCAGATAAAGTAGATGTAAAAATCATTGTCTTTTTTAGATTTGATTGTAGAATCCAAGAACTACATTAAAATTCATTAAGAATATTAAACAAATTATTGTCTATAATACAATAAAGAATCCTCACTTTAAATTAACATTTATAAAACAATCAGGACACATTTAACATTTAAAGGTAGCTTTAAATGAGGGTCTTAGCATCAATTATCCGATTATTCCATAACAAACAACCATTACGTAATTCGGTGACATATCCTTCAAAAGCCACTGGCGCAATTACATAAGATTTAAGTGGCTCACGTCATGATACTCCTTGGTCCTGGACTTATCCTGATCCACTTGAGCTGTCCTGAGGGAGGCCGCTCATTATGTAAATTGTGTTCCTTGTGTATTTGCCACATCGATAACATTATTAGCAACAAATGTCCCCATCCTTGACTGCTGACCAATTTTGTCAGCTTTGCCAATTTGGGACTACCCTCGTCTTCGTTTTTTCTCCCGATTTTCCTTTTTTTCTTTTTGGGAAGTGAATGGGCTGCCTGGATTTGGAGTGCGTCCGCTGTCAACAGCATTTGTTGAACGCTTCCTGGGAGCTTCTGCTCCCCATTCCCGCGATTCCCCTCCCCTCACGCAAGGACCTCTCCCATTCAGACTTATGAAGCATCGAGCATTGTTGTGCCGGGACAACCGTTGACAGCCAGAACGGAGACAAGTTTTTCTTTCGTTTCGGCTTGGACAAAACGGTGCGTAGTTGAGCGCAGCTGCTTCAAAATATAATAAATAAATAAACATAATTTATAAGTAGCAGATTTTTTACGTCTGTGTTGGCACAAATACTTAAGCACTCCCGCTTCCATACGCCGACAAGGATCTGCTCGACACTCGAATTTATTTCATTTTTATCTCGGCAGATGAATGCGGTGCCATGTTGCGGGTATTTTTGCCGAGGCAAAAGCTCTGAGACAAAACACGATGAGATTAAGCATCTTTTTTCCACAGGATCCCTTATTTTGCGGGTTGTGGGAGTGCAAATGTGAGTAAGGGTGTTCGTGCCACGTCAAGTGCATTGCGTGTCCTTACGTAAGCGGGATGTTGATGATTCAATTCATGTTTTGTTTTTGCTGATACTGGGTTTTTTTCTTTTCCTAAGCGCAAGATTTCTATATTAGTAATTTTCCTTTTTTTTTTATTTTGCAAGCAGAAAATTGTTGTTACCCAATAAAATTAAAAAACATTAATATAAGATTTTTAAATACCACTTTTAAGCTATTTTTATATAATATGTATTATTAAACAACCTATTTTGATATTCTTATATAACTACTTACATTTTTAATACTTTTATCAAATTGTCTTTACAAACATTTTTAAATTTTAAGCCAAAAAGTACACCGATTTTCACTTTTAGCGATCTGCCATTCACACTCACCCACTTACCGTAACGTAACACTTTGAGTTACGTTGACCCTTGGTTGTTGTGGTTCGCGTACCCTTCACCACTCACGTTCACCCACTTGACCCACACTGCCTCCATATTGCACTTTAGATTGTCAAAACCACAACGATCCCGCCCGCTTTTTCTTTTTTTCCAGTTGCTGTTAAAAATGCCAAGCCGAAATGAGGAACAAAGAATTTGTAGAAGGCCTGGCTAACCGGAAGTCGAAAACACAAACGTACTAAAAGCCGCACTCAGCAACAGCGCGGGATATATAATGATATAGATGTATATATGAGTATATATATATATATATATGTGGGTGTGTCGCACAAGTCCGGGAGTACCACACCCACATACTCGACTCAAGCCGAAGAGGGGGCACATTCAAATGGTTCCATATTTCTTGACAATTTAGGACACCATTAGCGAAAAATTATTACTGTGCAGCCAGTAAGTGGAGTACGAGAAGTCCGAGTGGGAGGCGCGCGAAGGGAGTTTTTTTTAGGGCGTGGCGAATGGGGGCAACGGCTGAGGCTAAAATGGGAGAAAAAATAGGCGACAATAGGCGAGGGCGGCTTCGTCCAATTTTTGGCAGTGACAAGCCCGCAGCAGCCATGAAAATGCTAAGGGAAAAAATCGAAGAAAAGTCAGCTTGGTACAGTGGTTCAAATTATGTACGGTAAGAGAAAATATTTTGTTTATTTCAAATTTCACTTGTAAGTTTTAACGTCCTTCCAAAAAAAAACAAAATATTTATTTTTAACTCATGAAAAAACAAGTTATAAAGCTATTTGGCTATTTTAATTAGAAGTAATCATGAAATATTAGTTTGTATTGTACCTTATAAAATAGTTAAAGTGAGAAACAAAAAAGTGTTACTCATATGATTGATATAAAGATAAGCATGTAAAAAATATATCAATCATACGCCGTGTAGTGTTTGCAGACAGAAAAAGTAAAATTACAATTTTATTACGGAAATAAAACCGGTTATTTATTTTTCAACAAATCTAAAACTCGAAACAATAAAATAACTTAAAAAGAGGAGATTGTGAACAATAAGGTTAGCCCAATAAGGTTAATGTTATTTTCCATAAAATATCAAACCACGGTATATTGGTGCTGTTTCGCCTTTTTGTTGTATTTTGGGGAAAGCGCGGAAAACTTATGTGGGTGCTTAAGTGAACCATTAGCGCCGCGCGTCATTAAGTTGTTTCCGCTTCGCACACTTCTCGCTCTGTTTTCCATTTCGGCTGTGGAAAAAGGGAAAAGGATCCGAGCCTAGGCCCAGACATGCCGCTCGAGCGGAATACAGCACGTACTTGGAGGAGGGCTCGGTTGAGGGCTCGGGGGTGAGATGGCATAGGCCACATCATTAATGGTTATGGACCCGGACCCAGACCCGGACCAGACACCCAAGACGGGCTCCGTCCGTCCGGGCTTTTTGCGAGTCCTTTGCGGTTCATTGACCAGACGGAGGGCGTGTTGATTTATGCTGCTCCATTGGTATCTGGGCGGCTGTCTCGTTATTTTCCCCAGTAGCAGTAGGCTCAACATGTTTTCCGCCTGTTTTTCTTCTTCAGCGCAATTAATTGGGGGGCAAAAGGGGGCGGGCGAAGTCAAGTCCACACATCACACCAACCAGTGTCAAGAGCAAAATTCAATTAAACGCAAATCGGTGCAAAAATCACACGAAACGTCAGGTACCGGTGTTGTTGGTCCTGTTGGCCAGGCCAACAGGCGCTGCCAGGCAAACAGACACATGCACCATGAGCCCATCGAGAAACTCAACTGGCTATCAATGCCATGACGCCCCATGACCACCACATTGCAGTCCAGTTCGGGTTAGCTTACCTCGGGTCAGTTCAACTCGGAGCTGTTGGGAGCAGTTCCGAGCAGCAGTTTGCCCGGCAGCTTGTGCACCACTTAAACAGTAAGCCCAGTAAACAAGGACACTGGAGAAAAATATTACTATTCACCACCAAGTAACGCAAGCCATCTGAGCAATAAGAGCTTACCAATTTCAGCAAGTAGCTAATCTTATTCAAAATAATTTTAATGACATTTTTTAAGGTCATAAACTATTGTTGGATCATCAGTTTTAAATCATAGTTTTTAGATACTATTTTAAAGTATTAAAAATATATGTTTCTAAGAATTTTTAGAAAGTTTAAAAGTATTTTTTTTATTATCAACACCATGAGCTACTATGTTTTAACAGCACACTTTAAGGTACCTTTCCTTTATACGTAAAATGGTCTTAAGGTAATAAAAATTCAGCTAAAGATGACAAATTTTAAATCGTCAATAAAAAAGTAAAAATAAAATATAGTAATATAAAAGCTGATTTTCGATAAAGACAAATATGTATTCTATTAAGTTGATAATCAAAATACTGTTAATTTAATTGATATCTCTGTTAAATGCATGCAATTAGAAACCGATTTTGAAAACAGAAAAGAGGCACTTTTTCTCGCAGTGCACACACCTGAAATGCAACAGCATGGCGATGGTGTGCGAGCAGCAGTTTAATGGCAAATAAAACCCTCGGGCAGAAGAGCAATCGGAGCAGCGCGGGATCAGCAGCCTGAAAGCGCCCGACGACCCGACAGCCATTACGGGCTAAATGGATTTGATGAGCGTTTATGTGCAGTGGCGGCGATTGCATGTTCTAATTATGACAAAGGGCCGAACCTGCCGCCCACTGACCCCTGACCCCTGACCCCCTCGCACATTTCAACCATTCAGTTGTGTGAGTGCCAGTTGCACCTCGCCTTGCGCACGCAGCGTGTTATGTAAATGTTTGCCTTTATCGCCGTTCAACGAGCTAAGCGCAAATTAAATTTGATATTAATAGTGGGGAAATGTTGCGAAAACAAGCCATGGGAATGCATTTATTAGCCAGACAGTGTATAAGAGAAAAACAACTGACTGGATATTAACAATTCACCTTCAATTAAGGTTGCCTTAATTAGTGTAAGCTTTGAATACAAAATGTTAGTACATTTAAATTAAATTAAAAGACCTTCATGGCGTCAGTTTCTCATGACCTATGTTTGTGGAATTAAAATGTTGCCATTAATGAAATTTCCTTTCAAACTAATTATAAAAAACTAGGAACAGGAAATTATCTACAATCTTTACAATGATCAAACATTAAATTAGTAAAACAAAATCAAGTAATTCAATGGTATCCAAATAAATTGAATTACATGCCTAAATAAACAAAGTTTAAATGATATTCAATGCGAATAACCTTTAAGTTAAGCCACACAAATGCCAGAGGTTAATCTGAAACCGAATAACAAAATCTGTTTATAACCTCCTGAATGCTACTGAAAATTGCCTTAGAAATACGCACACATAAAGTTGTTATTATTTGTACCTTAGCTGTATTTCTTTGGCACCGCATTTAGCCCGCCCAGCCAATTGGCTTATCAGACATCCGCCTTTGGGTCACGCCCCGTGCAAACCGAATTTGCATGTTTATTGTGCGGTGGCTTTATGGC